CTGGTCTCTGAGCTGTTACACTGCAGCGGTAACTGCCAAGTGCGCTTCTCGGACGCCCCTACCAGCTGCCTTCCTGGCAGGCTCCGCTGACAAAAGCCACCGGGAGGGATGTGAGGGGCAACGACACCAAGGCCCCGAGATGCAGGGACTATTACTGTAGCAGAGGTTTACCTTCTCATAATAAAGTGCACATTGAAAAGTGACAAAGGGAGACTCACCTATTAAGAATCCACCTTTTCACTCCAGGTACATACCCTAAAGAAATGTGTTAGTGCACATGAGAAATCCTGCTGTGTAAAAGTGCTTATCACAGCCACTAACCATAACATACGAAGATTGAAACCAATTCAAAAGGCTATCCACAGTGTACTGATTGCATTATTTTACTTATACATAAACAAAACTACACAAACCATTAAAATCAAACTACCCTGGGTTGGGGAGGTAGCTCGGTGGGCTAAGTGCCTGCTTGGTAAGCCCAAGGACCTGGGTTCAATCCCCAGTACCGCATGCTGTGCCAGACCCAGAACCCTGGCCACGCTGTGCCACCCCCGAAACCCAGTGTGATGGAGCACGCCTGGAATGCCAGCGCTGGGGAGGCTGAGACAGGAGGACCACTAGGAGTCAAGGCTGCATAGCAAGACCCTGTACCAAATAAATAAATAAAAGATTAAAATCACACTACACAACAATATGATTGATCTTTTTCTTTGGGGAGGGAACAGTACCAGGGATAAGCCCAGTGCGATCACACTGGTCTACAGCCCCAGCCCTTTTCTATTTTTCAATGTGATATAGTTTTACTAATTTGCTAAATCGCCCAGGTGGGGCTTAGCCTTACAAGCCTCTTGCCTCAGCCTCCCAGAGTGCTGGGATTATAGATGTACACAATCAAGCCTATCTAGAAATTTTTTTTATCTAATTTTACTTTTCATATGTTTCAGTCTTGAAAATATTTATATTCATGAATGCACATACTGCCAAAAAAGTGACGATGTGAATAAATGTAAATGTGAAGCAAAGGATATTTTTCTCTGGCAAGACAGGTCTTATAGAAGTCTAGTCAAAGTTAGGCATGGTCACAAATGCCTGTAATCTGGGAAGCTGAGGCAGAAGGTTCACAAGTTCAAGTTCAGATTGGGAAATTTAGCAAGTTGACAAGCTACTGTTAAAAAAAAGAGTGGGAGGTTGATCCCCAGTCCTGCATGCTGTGCTGGCCCCATCCCTGGGGTGCACTGGGCCAGCAACCAAGTCCAGGCGTGGTGGCACACGCCTGTAATCCCCGCACTGGAGACGCTGAAAACAGGAGGATCACTACAAGTCCAAGCTGCGCAGTGACACCCTGCACCAAATACATAAAATGAAAACAAACAAACAAAGGCTGGGATATAGCTCACTGGGCTCTGGGTCAATCCTCAGTATCATTTTAAAAAAAAAAAAAAAAAGGCTAGGGAAGACACAAATTTTTCAGGCTGGCCGTCTGACCGGAGCTGAACCCAATTCCAAACATAATAAGCAACCACAGTGTTAACGACGGGCATGTGCACAAAAAGCTAGACACATTTTTGTACTTTCCATGCCACTAAAAACCTATTTTATTTTACATATTTAGGCCATATATAACATATTACAAGATAGTTCATATGGATAAGTAAGAAAGTCCTTTATTTTTATATTTTAACTTACTAAATTATTTCATGAAGTAAGACAAGTCTAAGTTTAATAATTCATTAAGAAGATGAAATGAGGGGCTGGGGAGACGGCTCAATGGAATAAATGCTTCCCTGGCAAGCGCAAGGGCCTGAGTTCAATCCCTGGTTCCACCAAAAAAAAAAAAAAAAAGATGAACCGTCTGCTAATACCCACGCATACCTGTCCTCACGGCACACGTGTACAGACTGCACGATTCCACTCCCCATAACTGCAGCTTACCCATCAAGGTAAACAACACATGCACAACAGGAGTGTGACTTTGATCGCACCGCGAGTGGTGGTGGAGGAGGCGGAGCCAGCACGTGCTGCACTGTCCCTTACACAACACGACCCTGCTGCCCACCAAGTCCACGCTGGGTACCACTCAAGAGCATCATGAAACTACTGCTAACACTCACATAATAAGGTTCAAAGTTTCCTCATCGTGGGCTGCACGCTGGTGCAGTCTAGACAAGCCCGCGTGATGTATGCTCTATGCGCCATAAACAATTCAGTGTACAGATCTCAAATTTTAAGAATTTCCCAACAATAGCAGCATCACAATCATGACCATTCATGCGCTCCACATTCTCAGGGAGACAAGAAGACCTTGTTTACCCCAGTTTCCAGGACACTGAAGCTTTGGAGGGCTAAAAGCAGGTCTAGGGCCAGCCAGATAGCTCAGTAGATCAAAGAGCCTGCGCAGGCAGACGCAGGGACTGGGGTTTGATCCCTGCCCCCGGAGCGCCCTGAGACAGCAACTGAAATGGGGCATGGTGGGGCACACCTGTAATCCCAGTACTTGGGAGGCTAAAAACAGGAGAATCACTATGAATCCAATCTCTGTAGTGAGACCCTGCAGACCCTGTACTGGGCTTTATTTATTTATATATATTTTTAATGGTACCAGGGATCAAACTCAGGACCTTGCACCTGCCAGGCAAGCACTTATTCCACTGAGCTATCTCCCCAGACACTTGACGCTGTACTAAATACATAAAAAAAAAAAAATTTTTTTTTTTAAAAAAAAAAGCAGGTCTAGAACCCAACACTAGAGTTCCACCACTAACGCACTCCCAGGCACACAGACTGCTGAATGCAGCAAAAGCTCTCAGGTCTTTAAAAAAAAAATACTCCAAATAAGGTTCTTTAAGGCTTCTGGCAAGGACATTTTATTTTCTAGTTAAGCCACAACTTACAGAAATGCCATAGAAACAAACATGTAAACAGGTCTGAGAACTTTGGTTCACTGAAACATCGCTCACCTACAACGTCTGAGGTACAGAGCACCTTCCGGGGTGCAGGACAGCCTGGCTCTGCTGCAGCCACTCCGACGCTATCCTGGAGCCAGGGGTGACACAAGCTGACGAAGAGGCTAGGACCCGGGACACACTGGACCAGCCCAGCATCCTCTCTCCCACTCCAGACAAACACTGACTCCTCCAAAACCCTGCCTGACAGGAGCTGGCACACAGCAAGGTGTCTGTCGTGCTGAGCCTGATGATGACCTGAGGTAGGGGCCAGGAAGGGGAAGGGCCGCGAAGGACATCAGTCAACTTCCGTTGATCCGCAAGGTCTCAAGAACTCCTGTCCTCGCTCGTGGAACCACTTATTGGAGACTGTGAACAGAAAGCAAGTGTGTCACCACCCTGCGGTCTGCTGAGCAAAAAGCAGTGACTGCGCCACTGTGACCCCTGCTCTGTGCTTTGGGAAACAGGCTTGACACAGACGCGGGCTTCAAGCTGCTTCTGGGCTCCTCAGAAGACACCTGATGGGACAGGTCAGCGTTCAAAATCCTATGAGGGACACGATGCACAGGGACACATAAGCCACATGGGAACAGAGCCCGGGGCTTTGAACCACGTGAGGGAGGCAGCAGCCTTGGACCTAGACTATGAAGCCAGACCCATGTTATCTTGGGAAGAAGGACACACGAGGATGCTGTCACACCAAGGGATGCGGAAGGTAGGACCAGGGTGGGGAAGTCATCAGGGCAGGGACTGCTCTGACCAGGAAGCCTGACGTAACTGGAGGATAAAGACAGAGTGGAGGGGCGGGAAGCCTGCGGGCGCCAGCCTTGCAGCACTGGGCCCTGTGGGCCAAGGGGACGCAACCTACAGAGAAAAGCAGTGCGGGTGTAGCGGGTCACCTAAGGCGGGCCCCAAACACGCGTGCAACGGGACAGTCTCGGAACACAGGATTTCTCCCAGTGGACACAAAATCATTTTCTTGCACTTCTGAAGGCACACCGACTTCAAAGTACGCATGCATTTAGCACCGAGCGAAATGTCTACAAGGCTTTAGCAGCACATGCTGCTAGGTAACAGTTTAGCTGAGCTTAATGAGGAGGGTTTACATCATTGTCACTCAAATGCTGAGCCAGCTGGCTGATACTCAGATGTCCTTCATGTACAACTGCTCTCCCTGTCAGATCAGCCACCTCCTCAGCTTCCTCATCTGCTTAATTTCTGTAACTCCATCACTATGGTCCCCCAAACAACAAGGCTTATGCACTGGTATGGTGACTCCCTGCCACATCCTAGGTCTACCCTCAGGTGGCTCACCACTGGTGCCACCCTCCAGCCTCATCTCTTGGTCCCTTCTGGGTAACAAGGGCACTCAGCACCTCACCTACTGTAGCCTGTGCCTCGCCCCACAGGGATCCTGCCTGCCTGGGAGCGCCCTTCCCCTCAGCACTTGTAGCCCTGCCCTCTGCTCCCTCAGAACCCATGCCACATCCTGCTCCTCTGCAAGCCTCCCTGGACATACGCGGCTGTCCGGAGCATCTTCAGCTCCCTGGGCACGGCTGAGAATCCCAGCCAGCTGTCTTGGCGGAAGCAGCTAAGAGGCCTGGACGGAGGATCGGTTAGCAGGAAAGACCCTTAGAAGGGAGACAGTCGTGGCAATGTGCAAACTTGGCAGCAGCTGTCGACCAGCTCTGGGTCTAAAGCCAACCATCGGAAGAATCCAGGCTGAGACCACCATAGCCAGCACCACCCCCAGGCCACTCACCCCACTTGCAGCCCACGAGCACGGGGCAAGCCGCATGCCTTGTTCGGTAATCACCTTCTCCACTCCGCAAAAGGTTGTACCAAAATACGGCCGTGCCCTGGGAAGAGACAGCCTGTCAGAACACATCCTTTGAGATGTGGCTCAGAGACCAGACCTCAGGCACCGAGGCACTCTGCCCACAGCAGAAATTGCTCACTTTCCTGTGGACAGCGAACAGGCTGTGGGACTCTACTGGCAGCATCTTCCCAGAAAGCACTTCCCTTCACCATTGCTCAGAGGTTTAGAAATCCACCCACCCCTGAAGGGACTTCCCCCCTCCTCCCCAGGGAGAGCTGGAACACAAATCCACAGCGTGTGGAGGAAGGGGCGCACATGCCCGTGACAGCCAAGGCAATGGGGCCACAGGACACGACAAGATCCAAGCCCTGTTCTGACATCCAACCATAAAACTCAGAACATACCTTCTTGGGCCAAAGCGCAGCTCCCAGATCAGGGAAGACAGTAGCTCCACCAGCTTCTACGTCACTCATCTGGGAATATACAAGGCACAGAGCTTGGCCCCTCTAACCAAGGGTCTCAGGCCAACCAAGCCCCGAGGGCTGTGACAAGTGTGCAGATGGTCACCCTTGGAGCACGAGAGCTCTGCTCCATGTCCAGCCCTCCAGACAAGAAAGGCTCCTCTCACACCCTGCCTGGTCCATGTGGCATGGTAGGACAGTTTCCATGTCTAGGGCTTTCAGAGCTGAGGCCCACAGGAGACTCACAGAGGTGCTCTCTTTGCAAGAAACCACCTGAGCCAGTGCTCGGGAAAGGAGTCCTCTGGCCCTGGCCTCATGGTCCCTCTCCAGCCTGGACCTTGCCTAAGCTACCATGCCCGGCAAACTGCCCTGACCAGGAGCTTTCTGGGCATCCTCTCCTCCGGCCCCCAAGTGAGCTGTTTTCTGGCTCTAGCAGCTCACTGCTTTGTCAAACCCTCACTTTTCAAATGGCCATACTCCCAAGCTGCTATACACATTCAATGCCATCCCAATCAAAATACCATCAGTGTACCTCACAGAACTAGAGAAAACACCCCTAAAATTCATCTGGAACCAGAAGAGACCTAGAAAAGCAAAACAAAAAACCCCTCTGGGCAACTGGGCAAGGCAGGGCACATGACAATGCCTGACTTGAAATTATACTACAGAGCTACCGTGAGAGAGACAGCACAGTCCTGGGGAGGAAAAACCAGAATTGAGATCAACGGGACAGACTGGAAGATGCGGAAACAACTCCACACACACTCGGCCACCTTGTCTTTGTCAAGAAGCCTGGTACCTTCACTGGAAGAAAGACGGCCTCTCTAATAAATAGTGCCAGAAAAACTGGCTCTCCACATGCCAAAGACTAAAATTAGACCCTTGTCTATCACCATGCACTCGAAAATACTAGAAAGAATCAACAACTGGGCTTTCATCTTACTAAAAACCTTTTGCATAGCAAAAGAAATCACCAACAGAGTAAAGGGACAAGCCACAGAGTGGGAAAATTATTTTGCCAGCTATTCCTCAGATAAAAGAGTAATATCTACAAGATAGTTAAGAAACTAAAAAAAACAGATTCCCCCCATTTAAAGACCCCATGCAAAAATGGGCATCTGAGAGGAACACACTCTTCTCAGATGAAGAAGTACAAACTACAAATAAATATGTGAAAAAAATGTTCAACATCACTAGCCACTCAAGAGATGCAAACTGAAGCAACACTGAGATTCCATTTCACCCCAGAGAGAATGGCTGTCATCAAGAAATCAACCAACAACAAATGCCGGAGAGGCTGTGGGGAAAAGGAGTGCTTCTCCACTGTTGGTGGGAGTGCAGGCTGGTGAAGCCACTACGGAAGTAAGTGTGGAGCGTCCTCACGAAACTGGGAGTACAGGCCACATTTGACCCAGCTCTTTCCCTTCTTGGTATCTTCCTGAAAGAATTAAAAGTGTCACACCATAATGATAGATATAGGGACTCTTAATAGCTAAATCTTGGAAACAGCCCAAATGCTCATCAAAGAATGAACAGATAAAGACAGGGGTTTCAAGGACAAACTTGAGACATTTCTAGGGAAATGGGTGCAACTTGCGATCACACTAAGTGAAATAAATCAAACACACATAAATAAATACCACATTATCTCACCAGTGTGAGAAACTGAAAAGTGTAAGAAAGAACCAAAATATATTATAGATACTGTGAAATAGGAAGAAATGGTCCAAATGGGAAGGGGAACTAGAGGGAGAAAGGGGAAAGAAAAAAAAAAAACATGAAAAAGTGGAAACAAATCTTTGTAAATAAGCAGGGGAAGAGGGGCTGGAGGGAAGGGGGTAACAAGAAAAAAGATTAATCACGATGCATCATGTATAGGTACAAATTCCCTATGATGAATGGGATCATTAGGTATCTGTAAATGTACCAGTGAAGTTAATTTAAAAAAAAATCCTCACTTGCCTAGAAAAGCCCTGTGAGGGTGCGCAGGTCCCAGGGGGCTTTCCCTGCCCCTGCCCACAGGATCCACACCAGCCACTCTCGCCTCTCGCCTCACCTGGCTCTCACCTCCAGCTATTGCCTCTCTGTAAGCAAAGCTGGAGCTAAAAACATTTCCCGGGACACACACCAGGCTGGCTGGAGGGCGCAGCAGGCACGTGGCAGATGAGGAAGGCGAAAAGCCCCTGCGACACACATGGCCACCAGCCATTCCACCAGCTGACTTCTACTCAGCCCACAAAGGAGGCCTTCTGTGGACCCCACACCTAGGCACAGGCTCCCCAGGCCCATCTCCATGGTAACTACACACCCATCTCTCCTCTCACGTGAGCCTCCCTTAGACTTCAAGTGCTGCAAGCGAGGACGCACACGTCCTGCTCACCGTGTCCACAGTGCGGTCCCCATGAAAACCCCGTAATGGAACCATAAAAGGAACACAGACTTCCGCTGCAGGTTCCCAACAGCCTCAGAGGTGTCCCTGTAGAGCAGGCTCTCCCAGCAGGTGAAAAGGAAACCGGTCCCCACGTGAAAGGGGAAGGCGACGGCCTTCCGAGGGAGTGCAGGCAGCAGCTGGAAGGCAGGCCCCAGCCTCTGGGAAACCGAGGCAGCTTTTACCTAACAGCACCTCGTGACTGCCTCTTCATGCTGCCACCAAGGAGCCACCCCAAGAGCCCAGGGTAGCGCTGGGTCCACCAAGAGCGTGGCAGAACATGCTACAACGAGGTGGTGCTAAGGGGAATGAGCCAGTCACAAGAGGAATACTCTTGACTATGCAGGAGAGGCATTGTGGTGCGAGCCGAAATCACAGGGACAGACCGAGCCCGCTGGCTGGGAGGGAAGCTAGACAGCCTGGAAGCTGACAGCCTAACAGGACCAGAGTTTCTGTTCTACGAGATGAGCAGAGCCACGGTGATGGACGGGGGGGGATGGTTACATTCATGTAACGCATATATGTGACGCTGCTGAAGTGCACTCTAGAGTGGTCAAGGTGGCAAAGTTTATGTGCATGTTTGAACATTGAAAACAAGAGGCCAGGGATCGTCTCAGTGGGAAGGTGGACAGAGTGCTACCCAGAGAGGAACACGTGCCAGCTCTACTCTGCCGAAAGTGCTGAGGGACAGAGGACCCGTTCATTACGCAGCCGCTGCGGTCACCCACCCCGGCAGGTGGGAAAGGAGCGCCCTGGCCCGCAGTCCCCGAGGGGCCCGTTAGCTGCACACCTCATACTCACGTAGTTTAAGAATGTGGCCAAACGATTCCCAGTCCCTAAACGCTTGAAAGCATCTCGCTCATGGCTCTATAAAATTAAGTGAGAGGGAAGAAGTGGGCCTGGACCCGATACTCACGTAGTTAAGAAACGTCGCTAACCTATTCCCTTCCGTTTTGAGGCCGCTGTCAAAAGGTCGCTGCAACAGACAACAACTTTCACCCAGGTTTGCAACCATCCTGCCCACCACCCAGAGGACTGGGGCCTACAGGGTCAGGGGGAGCCAGGGAGTGTGCGCTCCCAGGCAGCCTTGGCTGTGTACCCCGGGCACGGAGCTGCCTGCAGCCTGGCAAAGGGCAGGAGCACAGGAAACACTGCCATGAAGACCTGGGAGGTCCTGTGCTCTGGGATCTGGGCAAAGAGACCCGCATCACTTAGGGCAGAGGCCATAGTCAGGTTCACCAGGCTCCCAGGCCCTGCGGTCCAGACGGTCAGACGCAGGATTCACCAGTAACAAAGGGCTCCCCTAGTGAGGCAGGAGGGCAGGGCGGAGGGTGTGGCAGCAGAGGTGCTCCCAGGAGAGCCGGCCCTCTGGAGTGGGTCACAAGGGCCCTCGGAGTGAGCCTGTGAGTTGTTCCTTACCCTGGAGAAGTCGAAGTGCGGCTCGTACTGTCCTCCCATTCCGTAATTTGCGACCTGGTGAGGAACAGCGCGGACCAGGTCAGTAGCACAAAGGGCCCGCCCACGGCAGCCTGCCCACCTGAGGCACTGTCTCCCTGGTCCTGCAGATGAGCGGAGCTCCAGAGCAGCCCTCTGCAGTGCATGTAACCATACCCGCTGGCACAGGCAGCTCAGGGGCAGCAAGCAACTCCACAGCCGCATCCGGGAGGAAGGTGGCAGCACAGCTGCGCCCTCCGAGCACACAACGTGTGCCTGTCCTTAGACTGGCGGCAAGGGAAACTGTCCCTCTTCTTCGCCCCCTCCTTCTGTTTCCCTTACTACTTTGAGACACTCTCACTACACAGCAAGAGTGGGCTGGAACTCACAGTCCCTCCTCGGCCTCCCCAGTGCTGCGAGCACAGGCGCGCACCACCACACCCCGCTGAGGCCCTGCCGGGGCAAGCCCTGGCCCGAGCCCTATTTGGGAGATGATGAGAAGGTGGTCCTGATGGAGACCCACAAGAACGTCAGGACTCGGGGCTGGGGAGATAGCTTAGTAGAATAAGTGCTTGTCCGGCAAGCGCAAGGGCCTGAGTTCAATCCCCAGTTCCACACACACACACACACACACACACACACACACACAAAAGAACGTCAGGACTTACATTCCTGTTTTGGGTTCTTGAGGCAGGACCCTACGATGCTGTCCAGGCTAGACTTGAACTCACAGGGCCACAACATGGTTCTGCCTCAGCCTACCCCTACCAAGTGATGGAACTACAAGCACCACCACACTGGACTTGAGAATGTTCCTTGTAAATACTGCTTTTGCATCTACTCAGCATCCAGTACTGCTCCTGACGCTGTCTCCCAGCATCTGCTTAGAGTCAGGCTGAGTGGGGCAAGCACAGCCCACCCTCCCCTCCTGCAGGATCCACTGCATGGAGCACTTCTGCATCCAAGAAAAACAGCAGAGGAAGGATGGCCAGCCACTGTGTGGCCAAGAAATGCTACACCGCCTTGCTATCCCATGGAGAGCCTCGACCTGCAGCAGGTAGCAGCTCTGGCTGGAAACTGTAAGTGCCTCTGGGAGACCTCACAGCACAAGGCCCTGCGCTAGATCACAATGGTTACTTGGCTACAACAGGCACACTGAGAGACAAGGCTTAAGAGAAAGGGCAGGATGGGACACAGAAGCCAGAGGACCAAGGGGCACCACCAGGGTCTAAGGAGGAACTGTGTGTCTTGCCAGAGCCCGAGAGACCTTCGGGGCTCAGCTATTGGTTTTCTGTACGTCCTCTGCGGCGATCCCAGTGGTCAGGTAAAAGATCTTAACAACTGGCAAAAATGGACACCTTTAATTGTGGGAAAAAAGGAACAGCGAATCCACAAGAGAGGAAATCTCTTGTTGCAGCACAAGTATGTGCCAAATATGAGGAAACAGAAAGTTGGACATTATTATCTTCAGTGTCTACAAAAATAAAATTTTGATACAAAAATCAGTAGGTGAAAAATACGCTATCAGCTCGGCTGCGTCAGCCCGCCAGAGTCCCGCACTGAAAGCACCTGAGTTCCTGCCAACAGGACAGGTGGGCGGGGCAGCAGGTAGCTGTCAGGCTGGGGACAATGCCAGCGAGGGCAGGTCACAAAGTCCTGCTAGAAATGCATCTCAAAGACATCTGTCCTAGCCTAGAACCTAAGAACACTTTAGGAGGCCCGTGACTGGTGGAAGCTCGGCCTCTGCTTGTGGCCGCGGCGTCAGAGTATGCGATGCTGCAGCACTTCCACTTGCTGGAGACGGGGCTCACACTTCCAGATCCTCAGTAGGGGAGAAGCTGGCTGCTAGAGCCGGCGCATCTTTCAACAGTGCTGAAGCCGCTGCACTGAACCTCCTTAATAATGTCCCCAATCCGCGCACAAGCCATGGGACCTGGTTTTACGGCAACCAGACTCATCAGCCTCGCATTCCCAAAGCCCCAGACCCACACCTTTAACAATAAGCAACTGTACATCAAAACTGATTCCCA